CACACACACACACACATCCATTTTTTCTGAGGTATGCCAAAACGTTCAGAAACCTTCAAAACGTCGAGAAATGTAAAAATTTTCAATTCCGATTTTCGGCCCATTACAATAACTTACCCTACGGGAAGTTAATAATATTTTGTCGAATTTAATCCATAAATTCTAAATAGAAGTAGTGATGTTAAAATAATTGTAATATAAATTGTATTAATTCAATTACATATATCAAACTGTGAAATATTGTTTAAATTATTGTCAGGTTTAGTTTTATTGTTTTTTCAAATCGATTTGTTTTGGCAGGCTCATTTGTTTTTAAAAAAGAAGGAAAAATTCAAAAAAATAAAAATAAGGCCAAAAATGATAATTTCACATATGCAAAACTCGATTTGTTTTGATGGATTTAAAGAAGAAACAATTTCGAAAAATGAGGTCATATAAGCAAACGGCGTCTGGATGTGGGGATTTCGAAATTCATTTTTTTTTCTTCAAAAACTTTTATTTGTTTTAGTTATGATAAGTTTATATATATTTATAGTTTTGTAGATCTAGATTTTGTGTTGAAACTCAATTCCGCATATAACAGTTTGCAAAGCCATTATTTAAACTATTAAATAATTTTTATAGGTAATTATCTTAATATTATTTGAAACTTGGAAAAAAAATACATTTCTTTATTTATACATTATATTGCTATATACATTTTTTAACTCACCGTAGGATAAGCCATGGTAATCGCAAACCAATCGAAATTGAAACTTTTTATATATTTTTACGTTTTAATTTGATTCGTATGTTTGGTTGTATGTTCGGTTACAATATTTCATCCACAACAAAAAAAATATCAGAATTTTGAAAAAATATCAGAATTTTAAAAAGAATATTTGATTTTTAAAATTTCAAATTCGGATTTTATTAACATTTTCATAAATATACAATATAAATATATTGAAATATATTTATATGTGCGGTATTTTATATGATTCTTATAAATATGAGATAAGATCCAGATTTCGTTCATGTTTCATTCACTTATTGAATTGATTCTCTAACAATATTATTTGGCACCCAGGACTTTTATATAAAATAAAAACATACCTTCCATCCAGGTATTATGGGATTTTTAAATCATACCTACAAGATAGGATTTTTCAAGTAAAAGTAAATCAAGTTACATCTGTTTTCCACAAAATAATGTCAGGAGTTCCACAAGGTAGTATTTTTGGACCCTTCTTATATGTTTTATACACAACGGACCTCCCATTACTTGAAAATCTGACACTTGCTACATTCGCTGGCGATATTGCCATACTAAGTAATAATCACAGTGCTGATCAAGCTTCCCGACAAACGCAAGAACATATCAATAAACTACAAATGTGGCTTGCCAAATGGAAGATTTGCATAAATGAAACCAAATCAGCTCATATCACAGTTACCCTGAGAGAGAGTACTTGTCCTCCAATTTATTTAAATAACGTCCAGATTCCGAAACAGAACATAGTGAAATATCTTGGTCTACATTTAGATAGCAGACTTACTTGGAAAAGCCACATAAAAACACAAAAGCAGCAAATGAAAGAATTTGATTGGCTTCTGCGTAAAAAGTCTAAGCTCACTGTTGAAAATAAGTTGCTGCTATATAAATCAATCATCAAACCAATCTGGACCTACGGAATTGAGCGCTGGGGATGTGCTTACAAATCTAATATAGCTATAATGCAGAGAACTCAGTCAAAAATTTCACGTACAATTCTTAATTCTCCTTGGTACGTAACAAAGGAAACCATTCACAGCGACCTCAACATGAAAACGGTGCATTTAACTTTCCAAGAATTCAAGGAAAAATACAAACGCAAACTGGACTCACATTCGAACCCTTCTATAGTTGAAATTACTAAACCTTATGGTACAAGGAGATTGAAACGACAATGGCCTTTAGACTTAGACTTAGATTAGGTCTAATATAATATTATTATAGTAATTATTAAACTGAGAAGATCTCATTGGAGCTCTTCTTAGGCATCGCTCTTAAACATTGTCATTTTAGCTCATAGGAATCTTTATGTATTTCTGATTGCTAAATAAAACGAGTCAAAAAAAAATGACATAAGATAAAGATTTCATTCATGTTTCATTCACTTATTGAAGTGATTCTCTAACAATATTATTTTTATCCGATTAATTTATATGTGTGTTTGAAAGTGTGTGTGTGTATGTGTGCAAGTGAATGACATAAGACAAATAGCTCATAGAATTGTCATGTATTCTGATTTCTATTGAAAATAATATAAAAAAAAAAGAGTGCGCGTAAGGATCACACGCGATTGAAGTAAAACTTTTAATATTGTATGAGTAGACAATTAAGATAAAAATAAAAAAACATCATATTTGAATTTTAAAAATCATTTATTAATAATCACATAACATCAATAACACAGTTTGAAACAACAACGATAGATTAATTGCTATCATATTTCATATATGATATAATAGGTTTGTGATAACTAAAATGAGAGACATAAATTTTGCTTTGTAAACTATGTACATTTCTGGAGAAAACTGCATCAATAGTCGAGCCATATCTTGTGGTTGAATCAAATGGAGAATTATTCATCGTTAAATTAAATTTATTATTTAAAAAATCAATTAATGGTTGAGATTCTTCTGAACGAAAATTGACATTGAAATCTCCAGCAAGAATTAATGGTATCTCGTTGTGATTAGTGTTTAAAAGTTTTGCACCCTCATTAGAAAAATGAAGTAACTGCTGATGTTCAATTCAATAATATTTGATATGTTTTTATTGGGAGAAATTTAAAGGACGACTATAATCAATGTTTGATTCTGTGTGTTCATACAGCGGACAACTGCAATATCACCTACTTATGTAATTTCATTAGGAATATCCAGTAATATTTTTGGCGCAAGAAACTGCATAGGAGTCGCATTATGAAGAGTATCTGAACATGAATGATAGACATTAGACAGCTACACCACCTGCTCTTGAGTTTGATCGTTTGTATTGAGTAACGCAGTAATAGTTCTGAATATTAATTCGTTCTTCATTATTAATCCAAGTTTCCGAAAATAACAAAAACGTACAACGTTGTAGCACTTTATCTTGCAGATCAGGCAAATGAGCTCGTAAACTTTGGCAGTTAAAGGAAAGCAATGAAATGCCGTTCAAACTTATTATCTCACTCAATTTTTCTTCTTGTGTTATTAATCTACAAGTTGAAAGTCTTTGGAATTCAGTTTTTAAGTCCATTAATCCTGCTGGCCGTTTTCTTCCATAATAAATTTTTTTGTCGTTGTTTTAGAAATGATGAACAATCCATTAATGTTGGTAACTCGTGATAATGCAACATATAGAAGCTGCTGATTATGTGTTTTATTGTATTCATATACAATTTTATCAAAAGTACCACCTTGTGATTTGTGTATTGTGAGTGCACAAGCAGACACTAAAGGAAAATGATTTCTTTTGACAAATATGATTTTATTTCTATTCATTGGAATAGATGAAGATTTCCTGAGAATCGGCACAGCTGTCCTACTGATATTAAGAGTTTGAATATGATGTGCAGCTTTCTTCTTATTTTGTTACCTATCTTACCAGGAAATTCAAACCATAAACGTAGAAGTTCATCATTATCGCCACGTTCTATGTACACTAATTTTCCTACACAACCATTAGCTAAGCCATCACTTACATCAATATTAGTTGTTATTATGTAAAATTTATTCAGAACTAAAATTATTTCATACGGCAAACCCCCGGTATCAATAACCGATTTTTGTGAAACTGTTGACGAATGTATGATTGTTGATATGTCGCATGGCAACCTACACAAATATCCGTGGCAATAGATATTATTTTGTCTTCAACGAGATTCAGTATAAATTTATTATATTCCATGATACATTTATTCTCTAAGAAAAGTCTTATTCCATGAGGACATAATACAGCAACCTCTTCTTTTGTAAAAAAACGTGATTCAATTAATGCAAGTTCATATAGGGTTTAGCGCTCGACTTACGCATGACATGACGGGAGTGGATACTCGCGACATCAGCGCTTACGGCGTCGTAGTGTTCAACTTCACATTGGCGTTTTCGTTGCATTTGTACGGATTTACACCCGTGTAGCCTAAAGAAATTTTTACACCCATATCGCGCCTAAAGAAGTTTTACTTCAAAAATGTTTCATTCAAACTCGGCTTGATTGGCTTTTGTTTGTTTTTTGCAAACATTCATAAGTTTTTTGTGCTATAAAATGGTCGCAATATATAAATTTAACAGTACTATATAAATATTTAAAACAATTATTATTAATCGTTGATTATTTTTTGTTGATTGTAGATCATTTTTATTTCTCGAATGTGATTACTTACTTAAATTAGTTTTATGCATTCCAGCATAGATAAAAGGAGTATAAATGAATATCACCATTACCCAAATATAATGATAAGCAAAATTGAATTTATATTCTTTTTTGAGCTCTCTTGTCTGTAAGTGGTTAGAACGCGTTAGAACAGTACTGACATCGGTTTTTACCTGGAAATATTTTTTTTTTATATATTTTTAACAGCAATCAGAACCTTACGTCCTATGAGCTGTTGGGCTGGAACTTCTCCTTACTTCGTATTTTTAGATGGTAACCCAATGGTTAATCCATCCATATTTGATTTTTGTTATTAGAATTAATCTAATAGGGCTGACATTTTATTGGTGCAGCAATGCCAAGCAAGGGCTATTTTCACTTGGAAACATATTGCTATCTATACCTGGAAATATAGATAGCAATATTTTTCTTATGCCTTGCCCGGCATTGCTGCAGTAATAATAAGTCATCACTATTACAGATATTGTAATAATTAAATTGATCACAAAGAGATGGGACAAATGTTTGGATTGGCACCTATAATGAAGCTACATAATAAGTTATTTATCACAACACCTGCAATAAATATTAAAAAGAAATAATTTCTTTTTTACAGCTGTGACATGTGTGGAGGTTCATTTCGAGTCACCAGACGGCGGCTTCTTCCTGAAGCCATCGCCTCCACCGCCTGCAGGACCCCGCAAACGTCTCCATTCGTCAGGATCAGTGACGTCGTCTCTGAATTCGGATCGGGGCGAATCGATGTCGGGCGGCGGTGACGGATCGAGCGACGGTCAGACGACATTGTCGATTGATAGGTTTGCTGTGTTTAGGACACAACAACCTATATCGGTTCGGGCTACTTATGGGCCCTTTTCCACGAAGCAGACAGTACCGTCCAAGTAAGTGAAAAAATATTAATATATTTTGTTAGTAACAATTAGATTTATATTATTTTGTGCATTTGACGTTGATATGTGTTTTAAATATCATAAAGAGTGTTTAGTTCTATAAGAATTTTATTTAAATTTAATATACATATATATATATATATATATATACTAGCTGACCCGGCAAACGTTGTTTTGCCATCAAAAATATTTTGCTACTTTACAGTGGTTTTTATTAATTAATACTATTAATCATTACTATTCCATTCAAGTTGGCTGCGAAGGTCTTTTATTAGTATCTTTATTTTTCAATTCTTAACCAGCGATATTTAAATCATATATATATATATATATATATATATATATATATATTTATTAAATCAAAATACACTGTTAGATATTTATCGTCATAATTACGAATAATTATAATATATAATATTCTAAGCAAATTTGCTTTTAACTAATCAAAACACCACCTATATTACTTTAAACACACACATATTTGATAAACACCATTATGCAAACATACAATTATCTGCAAATACAGATATCACAATATACAAAAAATATATACATTATAAATAGTTTATTACATTACATACATTATTCAAATTTCAATTATTTACACATTTCAACATCTAACATTCCATATAGCTGGATCATATATTCCTATTCAATTATTATTACTCAATAATAAATGCCTTTATAAATCTAGTTTGAAACTAATTGATGCAATTTATTTTTGACCAAATCCTCTTTGGCCAACACAAGTAATTTTTTTGGCGATCTCACACGTGAGCATCCCACATATAATAGTCTGTGCAAAAAACATTGATATTCTAAATTAAATCCAAAAACTGGCATTGTTTGTCCCTGAGCCTTGGTGATATTCATCGCAAATGAAAATCGTATCAGAAATTGTAACCTCTTGAGTGATTTCGTGCAATCTGAGGGTATCGTAGTAATCCGATGTAGAAGATCCACTTCTCATTTAAAACTTCCTTGCAGCACATGCCTTCTGTTTTATTTCTAAAGTTCACTGCCTGAGAATATTGGCATACTTTATTCATTGCACCAATTGCAATCTTTAAATGAGTTAATAATCGAAATCAAGACGAACAAATAATGCTCATGTTAATGTACAGCAGGTTTGTTGCCTTCGTCAATATTTCAATACTTACATGGTACAATACAATTAATATAAGTCTCAATGAACTGCAAGTTTAACACTACGTTCATCATCGATAGATGATGATTTATTAGATTTAGTTGCTGTTAGGAAAATGATAAATTTTGTTATAATGCTTGATTTGTATCGTGTAATAATATAACGATGTTCAATATATTAATATACATACCATGAATAGTAATATTCTCTGCTAAAACTCCGCTTTCAATAAGCATTTGATATATAATAACCTAACCTCTCAAATATATTTTGCCGTATGCTTATTCATCAACACCAAATCACAATTGGCAACATAAAAATACATAATATTTCTCCAACTGTCACCGTAGCTCATAGAAACGCATCGTAATGCGTTAACTCCTGCATCGAATCGTTCGTAGCATTCGTTGCATTCGTTGCTTTATGGTCTTTGGTCTAGAGTTGTAGACTCTGGACAGAACTCAAACTATGGTAAAATGTCAAAATATTTTTTATTTTTAAATAATATAAAATTTCGGCTATTAATTGAGATTTTCAATATACCCTATGTCCTAAATGGGATCCATATGCACACGGTGAGCAAAACAAATTTTAAATCGGTTCAGTATTTTAGGCGTTCATGGTGGACATGGCCTGTGACACTAAATTTATATATATATATATATATATATATATATATATATATATATATATATATAAATATATTAAGATATATATATATATATATATATATATATATATATATATATATATATATATATATATATATATATATAGATATTTATATATAGAAAGGACCACGGGTAAAATGTCCACCACCAATATCTCAAAAACAAGTAAAATGTGGTTATTTGAAGCGTTATTTCAAAGTAGAGGAAAATAGTATTTAATCGGCCACCATCTTAAATGGCGCGACTTTGTTATCACCAGATTAACGGCCAAGTTTGAAAATTTATAGCAAAAGTATCTTCTTTTTTTGTTAGTTTTTTTAGTTGTGTTGTGAGAACTGTTGTTTAGTTTACAAGTTCAATTTAATTGTTAAGTATATGCCAGTTAATTGTGTTTTTGATTTAACATCTATAATAGCATACATGTGGATGGAGTAAAAAGGACCAACCCAACCTTACCCTAGCAAAAGCATAAATAATAAAAATTATTAATTGAAAATATAAATTTAGTTGAAAAAGCAATTTGACAGGAAATCAATTAAATTAATATTTATTCCAACTTTACCGATGAATATTATTGACGGAATACCAAATCAAGGTTGTACACAGAGTTATCCCTGTAAAAACTGTGGCCATGAAATTTATATTGCAGATTGGTTGAATAATGTAGCTATTCTTCATTCTATAGTTATTTCGTGAAATACCTCTAAAATTAAAAATAACTAATTGGACCTGTCTACCAGAGAGCAGGCCACATTTCACCTCGGCTATGTAGTAAAAAGGAGTAGTTGACCAATATTTGATAAACAGCAAAAAAAATATTTTTACTATGATGAATTAGCTGAGATTTTCATTGAACACAGTCAGATAGTTGTTTGTTTGATAAGAGTTATTTGCTGTGACATAATTGGTTTGGTTTTTACAATATAATTGCTCAAAGTCAAATTGGAGCTATGTGAGTCGCATAACAATTGTATTATCCGATCTGTTTGATGTGAAAATTACTATACCCTTAAAAAACATTAATAGTTTAAAATATAATATAATAGGACCCAGTATACTGCTTTGAGGTACCCCTTCGTAGATATGTATATTGAAGGAGTTATATACCCAAACATTCTATTACAGAGGTAGTTTTTAATAATATAAATAAGATAATTGGAACCATAGAGAAGTAATGAAGTCATAAATGTGAAATTTTACCAAGCATAATATTTGCTATTTCTATTGGAAAGAATTATATATGATTTATGAAGAGTATTTTCTATTGCCAAGTTAAGCGGCGCCAAGTATACTGTGATATTACTTGAAAGCAATATGAGTAACACATGTTTTATATACTTGTTTTATACAGAAGTACAGTCATTAAATAACAAAAAAATAACTTATGTTGTTTCGATTCTAACATCATTATTTCAATATTTTCAAATTTTTATATTTGGAAACTATAGTATATATATGGTATATGTTTTCTCAAAATTCATGAGTTTAGGTAATTCTGAAACTATCAATCGATATCAACTGCGTTCTGATGATATTATCTGCAATTGACGAAAATCTTAGAAAAATGGTTATATTATATACTTTTTGAAGATTTGATTTTTCTATCACGGAAATCTTCATTGATCAACTAAGAGAATTGAAGAAATTAGTTACAATATATTGAATCACACCTACGGGTTTCTATAAATATATTCGTATTCGTGCTACATAACATATATATACGAATATAAATATTTATCCTTAATGAGTGAGAAACATTTGAAATACTAATCGTAAATTATTTGCACTCATAAATGACATCACATATTGACAAATTGTTTAAAGTTAAAAATTGTCTTTTGTATGAAAGGTTTTTAAAAAGCAATCGGCTTTTTTGGAGATTTTCACTTGACAAACTAATAAACAACAAGTATAGAAAATGATACAATCATAAATTATTATATAGGGTAGAACGGGGCACAATGGTCCAATTTGACTTGGAGCAATTATATTGTGAAAACTAAACCGGTTATATCACAACAAGTAGAACATACCAAACAAACAACTATTTTACAGCTAATTCATTATTGTAGAAATGTGTTTCTTGCCGTTTTTCAAAAATTTGTCATCTGGTTAATTTTACCCTATAGGGGGCGTAAAATTGGACGACCACGGGGCGAATAGGTGCAATGTTTTATTTTTAATTTTAAAGGGACTTGCTACATTATTCAAACAATACAAAATGAAAATTTCATGGGTATACATTTTACAGAGATAACACTGCACATAACCTTAACCTGGCATTTTGTCAGAAATATTCATCAGCAGAGTTGGAATAATTATTTATTTAATTCATTTCTTGTAAAATTACTTTTTTAAACTAAAATTTATATTTACTATTTGTTATTCTTTATACCTATGCTTAGTTGGTTTGGTTGGTCCTTTTTATTCCATCCACCTGTAAGCCTTTATAAAAAACTGTTGAACCTAACAAAAATTAACAATATATCTTATAAAACAATTAAATAATGTATACTTAAAAATTATATTAAGGTCTCGCAACTAAACAACAGTGCTCACTACCAAAAATAATAACAGCGAAATAAAATACTTATGTTATAGATTTTCAAACATTGCCGTTTATCATCCGATAGCAATGTCGTAAGATTCAAAGTGATATACATTTTATCCCTCTGCTTTCAAATATTGTTGTTAAAAAAATCTTAACTTCACTTGTTTTTGAGATATCAGTATCGGCCTTTTTATCCGTCGGACCTTTAAGCTCCGCTCTACCCTATTGATTCATGGACACCATGCTTGTTACAGAACTTCAAAATATATTACAAGGTTGCGGATATTATAAGATCCAGAGAATTTATATTATATAGGTCTAGTATGATATTATGATATGTTTTGATAAAAGTCGCTCATCTTTGGTAACTATGTCAATTTTATTGATGCTCTGTTTCATCGATTTTGTGAAAATCAAACAAATAATATATTTGTGCTTGCGCATACGAAGAACTTTTTCGATTAACTGAAAAACACGATGGTCAAAATAATGAAAAAAACCGAGAGAATTTAATGCTAAAATACATGATTATGAAATCTTAATAGCAGGCGTTTTGTTATTAATTTAACGTTGTAAATGTAATATAATAATATTTGTATATGCATACATTAATCGAGCTTAA